TTAGGGAAGATGTGATCCTTGAGATAGCTTGGACCCAAGCCATTTAGGGTTTATAGGTTAAGACAAGCACTTTGAACTGTGTCCAGAAATGGCACCGTTCTATTCGATTCACAAGAGTCACTTTAAGGAAGAAGAAAGCTTGTGTATTGCCTTGAGCTCTTGGGGGAAGCAGGACTTAAATATAAATAAAAACTGATCCTCCTAAATAAAAATTCTTGTTTTTTCCTCCCCTTCAGGCTGTCAATTCAAGACGTCCTATGGTATGAAAGATTTGGAACGGCATTCAAGGACACACACAGGCAAGTAATACCTGAAGTTAGAAAGCTTAATAGTTCTTTTCAGCCATTGAGCACAAGCCACCTGAGAGTTTCTTTTCAGAATGGACTCTCTAAGACCACACCAGTGACTGCTTCCCACCTAGTGCTTGAAAAGATTCTTATTTAATTTGGATTGCACTTGGCGTTGCAGGGGGGATTCGGGCAATGTCATGACCAAAAGTAACTTTTTCCAAGCCCTGTCCCTGCCTTTCCTTTCCCATGAAAATCAACAGAACAATAGATATGATAGATAAAACCTTATTACAGTCAAAAGACCAGACACAAATAAAACATCTAAAATATATAAATATACAGAAATATACAGAAATATTGGAATCGAATGCAAAGCAATAGTTAGTTCTGAGGTAAACAACAACAGTGTCAATACATCTCCCCTGAATCAATTCCAGAATGTCTAGCAAACCATGCTCTGACTACGGAGGCCCATCATCCACTTTTAGGATCCTCTGGGCGACTTACAATTTAATTATACAGGCTTACACATTGCCACCACCACCCCCAGCAAGCTGGGTGCTCAATTTACTGACCTCAGAAGGATGGAAGGCTGAGTGACCCTCAAGCCAGCTACCTGGGATTGAACCTGGGTTGTGGGCAGAGTTTGGGTTGCAACACTGCAGTTTAACCACTGTTCTGTGATGCTCGTCCTCATAAAGGACTACAAATGGCAATTTGCCACTCTGTTTCAAGCCATTGCACTTATGCTAGCATGCATGACCATTAAGTTTCCAGCCATTGTTAGTTATAAGTCACCATGTTTCTTAGTGATACGAAGCTGCCTTACATCAGATGAGTTCATTGATCCATCTAGTTTAGGAATTGAGTATGTTTGCTTCTCCAATATATTGTTAACCCTAACTTTCACATTGCTATCCCATGGTCCCATTATCATTTTAACGATGCCTGTAGAACTGACAGGAGTTGTAATCCAGTAGAGGTACACACACCCTGCCTTTAATCTAGCTCAGGATTTGGGCTGCCAGTGGGTCTCCCAGGATCCCAGATGGAAATCTTTTGTCCCTCCTCCTGAGATCTCTTTAATCCAAAATACCTGTGGTGGAACCTGAGACCTTACTCGTGCAAAACATGGGTTTTGCTGCCCCCTTTGCATGTAACATGAGGATGAATACTTTCTGTTCAAGATGTAACTTTCCTGTGTTTAGCATTTCTGTCTATTGCCTTTCGCAGTTCAGCTCAAGCCTGCATCTCCTACTTATCATTTCAGGGGACAAGCCCTTTAAATGTGAAGTTTGCAGTAAGAATTTCAGCCGCAAAGACAAGTTGAAAATGCACATGCGGTCTCACAGTGGGGTGAAGCCCTACAAGTGCAAACACTGTGACTACGCGGCTGCTGAGAGCAGCAGCCTGAACAAGCACCAGCGCATCCATTCCAACGAGCGCCCCTTCAAGTGCCAGATCTGCCCTTACGCGAGCCGCAACTCCAGCCAGCTTACTGTTCATCTTAGATCTCACACAGGTAGGTTGTGAACAGTTCTTCACATATTAGCACTCCCGCGCGCCCCCAGCCCTTCACACGGGCGCTCGAGCACATGCATGAAGGGGTGGGGGAGCACTCACACCGGCACTGGCATGCGCATGTGTGCACAAAGCAGCTGTGGGGGGAGTGCGTGTGGGGGGGAGGTCTGTCTTCGCTGCCCAGCCCGGCTCAGACCTCTGCCCTAGAGCAGTGATTTTTTTATTTTATTTTAAATATTTTTACCCCGCCTTTCTCCTTGAAAAGGACCCAAGGAGGCTTACAACAGTGAAAGATAATATTTAAAATTGAAAACAATGAGTATACAGTAGTGGTTAACAGCATTAAAAGAGAATATTTAAAGCTAAGAAGAAAGAGTAAAGAGGCATCTTACATCATTAAAGGGCAGTATTAAAGCTAAGAACAATAAGTATACTATTGGAAAAAAACAATGCCACTGAGAAATAGAAAACACAAGTAGTGCTGAAAATCCAGTGAAGGCAGTAATACATACCAATCCATCTAAAAAATCACACTCAGGTAGCTAATTACTGGCAGAAGGCTTGGGTCTCCAGGTGTTCTTGAAATGCATCTCCCAGAAATCCCAGGAATCCTGGCCAGCACAGCAAGTGGTGATGGCTTCTGGGGGTTTTAGTCCAAGAACACCTGGTGACTCAAGTTTCAGGGCCACTGCCCTAGAATAATTTTTGGTTGCAGAATCCGCACAAAACTAAACCTACCAGGTATGGACTCTGTGGCGTGATCACTTGAAAAAGTGTGAGCCATGTGTCCTTGTATTTCAGACACTTGTCGGCTATAAATCTTTTTCCTATGGACAAAAAAACACACATGAGAACAGAAGTTGTCGCAAGGAATCGGATTCATTTCACCATTAGAGGGATGGCATGGCAGGGGTGGGTCCCGTGTCTCATTGAAAATCTGTCTGAAACATTCTTTTAATGTTTAGGGACGTGCAGCATGCGCCGTATTGCACAGTGTACACACACTGACTGAAATCCTGTTGTGCAACTATGCACGGTGTAGAGTGAACGAAACATTTCCAACCCCGAGCCATCAAAGGTCTTGTGGCTCTTATGGGCTCCCTTTTCTCATGAGGAAGCTGCTGGCGAGGATGGCTGGAGGGGGGGGCATGGGGAGTCTTTAATTTCTGACAATCACTGCTGCCGGTAAAAAAAACCTTTCTGGAGATGGCACATTTTTGTAATTAAAGACCCCCACCCTCTTGTTGTGTCACACCAGTGGCTTCCCCATAACGAAGAGGGTTCCATAAGAGCATCAGGACCCTTTGGGGGGGGGGAGAAATGTTTTATTTCTGAAGACCGACTGTGGCTGCTGGCATCATCAGCCTTTTGCTGCTTAAATTATGCTGGTGGATTTCAGCTGTTGTCCTTGTATTGCAACTTAGTACTCCAGATGTTTAGGTCTGTCACTCCATAAGCCCCAACCAACATGGTCAATGGTGAGAGATTATGGAAGTTGTAGTCCAAAATATAAAAAAGCACTAGGTTGCCGGTCTTTCCCTTATATAAATAATTTGGAGGGGAAAGAAGAAGGAAACATATGAAGAATATCTCATGACTGCACTTTTTAAATTTTTATTTCTTCCTGTCTATCAAAAGATTTTCCATTCTTTGTTGGTCTAATAGATGCAATTTCTACATTGGTTGTATCAAATCTACAAACCACAATAAAGCACACATTTAAGGAAATCAAAACAAAGTGGAATGCATTAAATAAATATATGGTGAAGAATGTCAAGATAAATGAGAATAAAGACTGTGCATAATACTTTGCCAGAATGATACAAGGAAACATATTTATCTTTGGCATATACTTGGATATCTCAGTGGTTTAGGTATCTGGCTGCGGAGCCAAAGGTTGGGAGTTCGATTCCCCACTGTGCCTCTTGCAAATAGAGCCAGCCTATGTAGCCTTGGGCAAATTGCACAGTCCCAGGGCACCCTCAGAACAAAGGAAAGGTAGACTACTTCGGAGTACAGTGGTGCCTCGCTTAGCGACGCTAATCCTTTCCAGGAAAAACATTGCTAAGCGATTAAATCGCTAAGCGATTTTTAAAAGCCCGTAGAAATGCATTAAAACGTGTTTAATGCGTTCCTATGGGCTTAAAACTGACCTTATGTGAAGATCCTCCATAGGGGCGGCCATTTTTGGTGCCTCTAAAGCGAGGCAAAACGGTGGGTGGCCATTTTGGTTTTCCGACGGCCATTTTTGAACCACCCATCAGCTGTGCAAAAAGGGTCACATTGCCATGATCGCTTCCCCGTGATCATCGCAAAGCGATTTTTCTCCATAGGGGCCATCGCTAAGCGATCGCTCTGGCGATGGCTAAAACCCCATCGCTCAATGGAGCGATCTCTAAGCGAGGCACCACTGTATATTTTCTTCTTGGAAAACCCTGAAAAAAGGCTTGCCATGCGTCAGTACTAACTTGATGGCACCTGATTATTATTAATATTATTATACTTCCACAGCCTGTTGCCTGCTTAAATGCCAAATCAGTGTAGTACAAACATGGACAGTGTAAATGCTGGGAATTTCCTCCCATTTTGCTATGGATAGTTTGTATAATGAGTTTAATTAATTTATAGTGTGTCTTTGCATGATCCAAGGTAGATTATAGTATTAACTAAACAACCAATACAGCTAAATTCCCTGAAACAGCCGGAACTCTGTTGGTGACCTACACCAGTTGGAGTTTAATGGTATAAATCATGGTAGCAAATTAACGCTAATGAAGGAGTTGCCACTTGCATTCCTAGTAATATGCCAGTCATATGATTTTGTGTGTGACAAGAGTGCAAGCCACAACTTAACTGGTAGCAGTTCACTGTCATGATTTACACCATTACACTCATGCTACAGGAGGATTCTGGTCAAAAATTACAGTGTGGAGACACTATTACATAAATTACCACATTAAAACAAGCACTGAATTCTTATAATTTAAAAGTCATTTAAAAATACACCCAACTAATGGAACAACTGACTACTGCTAATACTACTTTGCAAAACAGTGCTCGTTCTTGCTTCTAACCACTCTGAACAGTATTCTTTGTCTTTGTTATTCCACCCATCTCACACACACACACAGATATGAGAGTGAATAAGCCACAGGGGGTGCCATTTAAGAGAGAAATAAAATGTAGGGAGGTCCTTCGTTCAGCAAATGTTACTGTTCTTTAATAATCACGACACATGTGGTTAATTTACTTTACCAGTTAATATTTTATAGATCTACATAAATGGAAGACGGTAAAAATGAATGCATAATTTGTTTAACTATGTACATATTTCATTGATCCAGCTGAAGATTTTTCAAATCACGATGTAGCATACTGTGCTTATCCATGTGTCTGCTGAATAATTGAGACTCTTGATATAAAATGTTTATTATACACATTTTATTAATGAAGACACACGGGCTGCCAGTTCCATATATTTTATAGGCTGGCCCTATCATGCATCATAAGAATCAGTAACTGGATTGTTACTTTTGTTGCTGTTATCTGCCATCGAGTCGGGTCCAACTTACAGTGACCCCATGGACAAGCGATCTCCAAAATGTTTTGTCCTCAACTCCCTTGCTCAGCTCTTGTAAACTCAAGCCTGTGGCTTCCTTAAGGGAATCATTTCATCTGATATTTGGCCTTCCTCTTTTGCTGCTGCCTTCATCCTTTCCCAGCATTACTGTCTTTTCGATAGAATCCTGCCTTCTCATGATGTGGCCAAATTAGGACATCCTCAGTTTCAACATTTTTGCCTTGGTTTTATCTAGGGCTCGCTAGTTTTGTCTTCCTGGCTTTCCGGGGTATCCTTTAATCTCTCCTCCAGCAGTACATTTCAAACAATTCATTTTTTTTCCTGTCAGCTTTCTCTATTATATATATATTTATTTATTTATTAGATCTGTATCCCGCCCATCTAGACATCGTCTACTCTGGGCGGCTTACAGTAAAAGCATAAAAATAACATATAAACAATTAAACAACAGTTAAACTTTCTTTACTGTCCAGCTTCCAAAGCGAATTTTACATGCCAAACTGTATTGAGACCATACCAGAGTCTCTAAATGATGGCAGTACCTTTCTTTAAAAAAATAAATAAATCCAGAAACTGATTTGTATTTCTGAACCATTCCACTGACTTTCCAGTGCTTATCCATGTGTCTGTGAATATTTGTCACAGGCAAAAGAAGTTTGAAAAAACATGAGGAGCTTGATTTCAAAAGATATATATTGCACATGCAACTGCTTTTGCAGAAAGAAACAAAAGACTCTTTATGAGAGAACAGGGGATTTAAGACCTGAAGGATTCCTGTTCAAGAAGAGAAGAAGGGAAACCTTCACTTTGGAGATTTTAATAAGAAACACAGTTGTGTAAAAGAGCTGAATTCAGAATCCAAGAATGTCAATACTTCTATTCATCTGAATGTGTACCCTATAATTGTGGTTTGTGTTTGGACATATGGATGGCTTATATTAGACTTCATTTTCCAGGGAAACACCAAAACAAAGCTCATTAAAAACTGCACACACACATACACACAAACTTGCATTGAGAGTTGTGGGATATTTTCTGATCTCATGCAAATTGCAACATATTGAGCATTAGCATGCTTGGATTTAAGGAACTTTTCTTGTATTCCCCAAACCTAGTGAGGATTCCAATGCCCTCCTTCTGATGACTGAAGCCAACTTACTAACAAGCAATGTACAGTATGTGATTCTTGCTTCTTACTGAAAGCTGGCATTGGCCATTTTTTTTTTGTTCTGGCCGTCTCCTTTAACAACAGGATATAAGCCTCCATGTCTCAACCCTACTTCCATTCGTTAATGTAAAAAAATGGAAGCTGACGTGGTGCTTTCTGGGAGTTGTAGTCTATAGAGGGCACCTCCAGAAGAACTGGTTTTGCTTTTCTTTTGTTTTGTTTGCCTAGCAAATAAAATGAAAACTTTATACACAGCCAGTGGCTGGAACTCATTATTACTCTTCAGACAGAGTGTTGCAAACCAGTGGTTCCCGACATTGGAGAACCCAGATGTTCTTGGAGTGCAACTCCCAAAACCCCTGGACAGCACAGCAAGTAATGAAGGCTTCCGGGATTTGCGGTCCAAGAACATATGAGTTACCCAAGGTTAAGAATTTCTGTTGTAAACTAGAATTGACCTTCCCTGGTGCATAAGGATTAAGTAGAGTACCTATTAGAAAACTGTCTCTACACAGAAGAACTGGGTGCAGTATATCTCTGTGTGCAGAACACCTGGAAATATCCTTCACATACACACCCTGGAACATCCCTGCCCAATATATATAGCACATCTGCATACAGAGTGCATAGAAAGCATGGAGGTAAACTTTGAAGGTACAGTGTGTTTATGTGTGTATGTGTGTACACACACACACACATACACACACACACATTGCACACATATGCTTGTGTTTGTAGTTCTTTGGTAAGTAGAAGCAGGTTTAACTGGTCATCATTGAGAAGAGGAATTCCCAGTGCAAATTCATTGAAAGAGTTTTTTATCTCCATCATACCGCATCTCTTGACCCCAATTCAAAACATCTCTTTTGTTCACAGGAGATGCGCCTTTCCAGTGTCATCTGTGCAGTGCCAAATTTAAAATCAACTCAGATTTGAAGAGGCACATGCGTGTGCACACTGGGGAGAAGCCCTATAAATGTGAATTCTGTGACATGCGCTGTGCCATGAAAGGAAACTTGAAGTCGCACATCCGCATCAAACACAACATGGAAAATGCCTTCCAGTGCCTCGAGTGTGAGTTCCAGTGCGGGAACAAGACGAGCCTCCGGCAGCACCTCCGTACACACCAACCTGAGCAGCCGGTCAAATGCCCGGAGTGCAGCTACTCCTGTTCCAACAAGGCCACCCTCCGGGTGCACGAGAGGATCCACTTTAAGGACCGCCCCTTCAAATGTGAATTCTGCAGCTTTGATACGAAGCAGCGGAGCAACTTAACCACGCACATGAAGAAAGTCCACCGGGACAAGGTCCAGGTCAAGAAGAAAAGTGCCGATAAGACAGAAGGAGACTGGTTGAAGGAAGGCAGCTCCAGGCAAGTGGCCAAATTGGAGGCCAAGAAGGCCTTTCGATGTGATATCTGTGATGCTTCCTTTGTCCGTGAAGATTCCCTAAGGAGCCATAAGAGGCAGCACATTGAGTATAACGGGGCTAAAAGCAGTGAGCTGGCTGTTTTGCAATTCCAGATGGACCCCACTAGGCAGGCTGGTACTCCTATTACTGTCAGTCACCTCCAGGTGCCACTTCATGCTTCCCCTTACGGCGAAGGGCAAGTCAAGATAATTGTTGGACACCAGATGTCTCAGGCTAGCGACCTCGTGCAGGCAGCCTCAGTCAACATTGTGCCTCCAGCTTTAATCAGCCAGAACCAAGATGATCTGTCTGGCAATAACCAGCTGCAAATACTCCAACAGGTGAGCTTGCTTGCTTCCCCTCTCCCTTCAGGTTCTCAAGTGGAAGGCATTTCAGTGGGCCAACCAACAGTTCTCCTCACTACCCACGATCAAGCTGATGGCAGTGCATCAAACCAGACGTTGATTCCCACCATCCCAGTGGGCAGCCATGATGTCTCAGCTAGCCAAGCTTTCATCAATGGTGCTGGGATCAGCTGCTCGGACTTGGACGGGCTCAATGCTTTGATTCATGAGGGGGCAGGGGAAGTGACAGTAGTCAGTGGGGAGGACCAGAGCATCGCTGTGTCAGCCTCAGCTCCCTCTCCACCTATATTTTCCCCCTCTTCTCATCCAGATGGACCAAAGCAAGCCTATTCCATCATCCAAACCGGAGGCCATGCAACGTTGCTGTGTCCTGCAGACTCTATACCAGATTAGTCTGGGGGAAAAAAATCATGTGTTCTGTACTTTGTTGGAAAATTAACATTCAGCCCAGGAGTTTATTCTAGATTAGACTGTCAAGTAGAATAGGCACAGTGGGCTGTGTGTTTCCGTTCCCTGTGCCTTCCTGGAAATAGCACATCTACACTTACAGAGCATAACACTTGTGTAACAAGCTCACTAGTATTGCTGAGGTCAGGATCGGTAGCTGCGGAAGGAAGAGTAGGAGATCCTGTGAATGGTTATCACTCATGGCACCAGTCTTGATACACAAGTCATCTTTGCTGTTTCTCACTCTATATCTCCCTTTTAGTATACAATGATGTTTCAGGGCAATTAAACTTGGAAAAATCATGGTAAATATTGTATTTTCGGCTGTTCTTGCTCTACATAGAAGTTTTAGCCTTAAAGAAATAGCCAGTGAAAGAAAAAGCACGGAAAATATCTTAAAGCAGGGAGGAAGGATCTTTAAGCAACCCAAACAACATCTTTAAGCAACACAAACAATTGTATAATCCAGTGCAATCTCTTGCAGTCTGGAGCATTCTGTATGTTTGGATCACAACTCCCAACATTTCTGGCCAATTTCAGTGAGAATTGTAGGCCAACAGGTATAGAGGCTACCAGGATTGGGCAAGACGGGTGGGGAGGGAATGTTAAAACACTGAGCTACACATACAAACTTGAGCTACGTACCATTTTCTGTTGCAGCTGAACAACCTTGTCATTGGAGAGAAGGTGAGGCATGTTTTGCAATCTCCAGTATTATCATCTCACTTTATGCATATTATTTTATTTGTTTCTAATGATCAGCAGAACAGTCTTTCAGTACAAATCGGCTGTGGGCACTTTGCGACTCATGTAGTAATTGTTACATTATAATGGGCCCACAAAGAAAATTGGTCTAAAAGAGTATGAACTACTTTATGCGATCTATAGGTGGTGCTAGAACTCAAGCTGAGATTTCAAATGAAGCATTTTACTTTTAAGCATAGCTCCGTCTAATTGGAGCTTCCTGTGAGAGATTTAACCCTACTGTGGCTTTCTAGCTTCAACATTAAGTTAAAAGAAGAAGAAGCAACTTCTTCATAATGAAAGGTATGCTGAGATGTCTACCAGGAAGCAATGACGAATTCAAAGTACTTGAATTTCCTTCTTTAAATAGCACACAGTGTAGCTTTTTGGACATAGCGTAGGTCTTCTAAAAAGATTCATGGGATGTTTTAATGGACTCGGGCACATGCATAAAAAAGCCCGTTTCTCAACATAAAGGTAAAGGTTAGGCGGGGACCTCTCAACAGTTTCTTTGGAGTTTACTAAAAATTAAAATGCTGCATCTTGGAAAAATGGGATACGCTGGCTGGACTCCAGTTAATGATTTCATTAAGTTTATATAATTTGCCATAGCTAACTGCAGCTAGTGGATAAGATACACAGGTGTGTCTATTTTGCATGCACCCCTGCACCTCATCATTCGTCTCAATTAGCCATAGAAAGCTATGTACAGCTTATGTGAACACCAGTAGGATTTTGGCCATTGTGAATGAATGTTTTCCTGAAGAGGCAAGTATTGATCATTTCTGAAGCACTCTATGTGACTTTCTACCGTGCTACTGATTTGTTGTGGCAAAGAAGATTACTTTCGAGGAGGTACACAAACCAGAACCGGTTTGGCTTGTGCTGGATTCTCTTCTGTTTAGCATGCAAAGAGGGCTTGTGTGAAAATGGTTATCCTGTGGCTAACACTACCCACAGAATGTATAGGTCTCCGTAAATCAGAATGTTTGACACAACAGGCAAATGTGTCTGTGTTCTGTGAGGAGGGGGAGCTTTTACCCAAACGTGTGCCTACATTTCACTGAACAGCCACATAGGAATGTAATGCCACAACGTGAGGTTCTCTAACCGCACTACCTGCTTTTCACTTTCTCAGAGCAAGCTGTATTGCACTTATTGAATAGTAGGAAACCAGTATGTTTACGCCATTGTGATGGCTAGCCTGTAAAACATTGGCTTGCGTACAATTATATCAGATAAACAGGAAAGATAACCTGGGCGAAAATGTTCAAGCGCTGCTTTCTACACCGCAAATACTGTGTCAGGTTTCAAGGCACTGATTCTGGAGGGCTGTTTTAAGATTGCTTTATGAGCTGAAGAAAAGTGCTGCTACAATAATAACTGCATGGCATCAACTTGGTTCCAACTTACAGTGACCTAGTGGGGAAGATTTTTGCTGCTAGTGGACACCTTGTTGGCAGTCCCAAAATGGAACTGTGGGACTGTCCAGATGGGAATGTGGAGCAGTCTGTTTCGCATTTTAAAGGTTTTTATTTTCAGGGCAATCTATTTTATCTCTCACTTGAGTGATTCTTCCATTCACATTGGACATGTTTATTTTCCTGTGAGAAGGATCCACACAGGTCTTTGGATTGACAGTTTATTCACGAGCAAGGTTACCTGTGAGTAAGGAGGTAGCAGTGGTGGTAGCACAAGGGGAAAAATTAAGTAAATTACCTTGTTTTTCCTGCCTTTCTCTTTAGCTGGGGCTCTGCTGGAGGTGCACTGTCTTGCGGTCACAGGACCCACAAAGTTAATATAGTCTTCTCCGCCTTTTTCCCATAGTAGTCATTCGGTGGGCCATGGTGATTCCCTCTTTTTTTTCTTGAATGAAGTAAAAGGCATATCGAAAGAATCAACCTTGTATGGTATTAGAATGGTGCTGCATCAGGGAAATATGTAAGAAAGAAGATGAAAATAAAGGAGGGGGTTTCTCTGTCCTGCCTTTTAATGTTACAACCCTTCTAATATGTCACAGGGTTGTGTCCTTGGTTAACACCATCTACAGCTCCAATTGGTTATGAATTAGCCATCAGCACGGGCTATACAATGGGATAATTAGGAGTGTGCTGAATCGTACCAAAAAGCAGGAGTGCAATTCCTTGTACATGGTGTGATAGCTGGGAAATACTCGATCATTCCACAAGCCGCCCAAATTATGATTTAATTCCCTGTGTGATCACCCCCTAAGTAATCTTTTAGAAATATTAGGCTTGTGGTTGCAAGCGGCAGGCTTTTTTTTTTCTTTGATAACCACTGTTTGCTTTGCTATTGTGTACCATCAAGTCAGAATTGATTTACAGTGACCCTAATAGGTTTTTCAAGACAAGTGAGGTATTTAAGGAACTGTTTTACCAGTTCCATACACACCCTAGTGAGTTTCCATGGCAGCTGAGAAATCAAGCCCACATTTCCTGAGTCCTAGGCCGTTACTCTATCCTCTTCACCTCACTGGGTACCCAAGTTTACAGTTTTTGCATTAGTGTGCAAAGAAGGGTTACAAGCCTCCTTGTTGGTCTTTTCATTAGACAGCCACACCAAAAGAGCTTACCTTGGCTGCAAACAGTATAATTTTACCACACCGTTCTCAATGCCTGCAGGCACTTCTCTCCATATGAGGCAAGGGGCTTGATGTGGTCTTTTGACCACAGACATTTCAAACTAGATGAACTTCCTCTTCTGCTGCATGAGAACCTTAAAAAATCAAGTGCAGGAAAGGTAAAGGAGATCAGTTTACATCTTAAGGGCCTCCACCCAAGAGTCTTTCAACTCTACGAGATATAGCTTGCCTTTCTCCTCAACTGCCAGAGAAACTAAAACAGATGTTTCGTTGGTCAGAACGTTGTCCTGGATGGGAGGCATTAAATGACTTGAGTGCAGTCCAGATATAGGAGTTAGCATTCAAAATGGGAATCAAAAACTACAATTTCTAGAATAAATGGCCATTTTGAATCCCATGCTAGGAGCCAGAGGACTGCCATTTTTGCAAGGTCATGATCATCATGTTTCCTTCATATCTCCTCAGGGCTAAGGAAGTTAACTTCTGTTAGGTTTTCATCATCCAGAGAATTTTATAAAATTTCTGAATGTTCTATGGATGCGCTCAGTCCATATGTATATTGAAGTTAAGCGAGCTTTGTACTTCTTTTAAGTGGTTTTTTAAAAAATATCTCTATACATCTAAATCAGAATGTTCAGGAGGTAGGGGTCTTTAATACATCTTCAATTTCTAATATATATTTAAAAAGTATAGTACTGGTTTTGAGTCCATGTTTCAAATCCAGCTTGATGGTGAAACAATGTTGGCTTTAATCAGAATGGGATGGTGATGATAAATAAGAATATATGATAGTAAAATTACTCTCCAGTGATGGCTTTGCGTGAAAACTGCTCTATAGGGAATAATTTCCTCATTGATTATCTTTCCTTGCTAATAGCTTTTATGGCCATTTGGTGGACAGTTCACTTTTACATTCATATGTAAATACTTATGCCTTGGCAAACTGATATATAGTAAAATAACAGAGCAGCCTGTATAATTCTCAACAGCTTGCTTGCAGTCAAATTAAAATGCTTACCTCTTGAAAAATAAAACCCTTCAGTAATGCACAGAGAGTGACTCTTCCCCTAAAGACCTAAGAATTAATCATTTCTAACATCTAATGTGATTAATTGGTATCTCCTTACAAAAGCTTCATTCAGTATCCATTACAGCAAGCTTTTCAAGATGTAAGCATTCAGCATTCAAGGGGCATGCACATGTCATGCTAAATCACCAGGTAGAGTGCAGGAGGGGGCCACTTCTGGCAATAAAGGCGTGCTGGTCTGCCCCCTCCAAACCATGATGCTATTGAATTTGCTCCTGTGCCGTTATCAAATCTCTTTACAATTTCACTTTCCTGGACTTTCCCCCAAAGACCTAAGAATTAAAACTCAAAAGAAATGGCATTCCCTTACTATGGGGAGGAATCAGTTTCTGCTCCTAGATGACTCCTAGAAATGTGATTTTACATTAAAACAAGACATTCTGGTGATGGTGATGACGTCAACAACGATAATGATGTCATCAAGTGATTCTGACTTATAGAGACCATTCTGGGCTTTTCAAGGTACAAAAGACTCAGAAGTTGCTTTCCTGACCTTCTTTCTAGTCTCTGTCTGAAATAGTGTTGCTTGCCCAAGGCCATAGATGTGGACGTCCAAAGACGTCCATCAACCACACATGCTCCAGGTGGTTTCCCCTTGCTTCACTCCCACACTGATACAGTATTTGAATTCCTGAGACTGGGCTCTCCAGCCAACTGAGCTGTGTTGTTATATTGCTGCCAAGTTCCTTCCGACCGAGGTACATTGAACTTATCCATTTATCAATGAATTTAACAATAATTTATCAATAAATTACTGGTTTTCAAAGAAACGAACAAACCTGTACATTTTATGGAAAATTTTAAATGAGCATTCTGAGGGACATACTTTTCCATTACTTACAATTTAATTTTTCTTACAAAATGAATGCATGGACAA